CCATTTCTGAAAACTGCTGCTTAGCTAGTTATTCCCCCACAATTTTTGTGCAATGCCTCTGTCCTACCCAAGTACAAATATTTGCAGTTGCTCTGATTGAATTGCACCCAGTCTTTTTTGTAGGCATGCCTCCATTTTGTCAAGATCATTTGTATTCTAAGCCTGTATTTCTCTATTCTTGCAGTCATTCCCAGCTTTGTGTTGTGTGCTTGTTAAGTTTGCAGGCTCTCCAGTCCATCTTCCAGGTGTCTAATGAAAGTATTGAATACTAAGAGTTCCAAGAGATGTTACTGCAGATTTCTTCTCAGCACATCTCATTCTGCCTACTAAATTAATATTAACTACCAACATATTACATTTTCTTCTTATTTTCTTCTTTTCTTTTTCTAATGAGACTTTTTTTCCCCTGAAAGCAGAAGTAAAGATAAGTAAGTCTGTGATTCCCTCCCCCCCAACTTTTTCTTCCTTCACAAATTAAACCAGGAGTTTGTCTTTTTAAAATCTTGTGGCATCTTCCTCTTTTCTGTAGGTTCTCAACAGCAAATCTCTTTTTGACAAATGAGAGAATTCCATGATGAACATTTTTTTTTTGGCATAGCTGATCTGAAAACAACCATGTGTATTCTGTTAGCTGCTCTAGTAACCTGTTTTAGACTTTGTCTCTGATGTGTTAGTCATTGGCTTGCAGTTGTGAAGAGTGAAATAAAAAAAGAAAGCAAACATGATGATGATCTCAGTCCCATTTGTCCGTACCATTAATTGTTCTTCAACAACCAGACTAAAACTCTACTGATCATCTGCTTAGCACTGATATAGCTACAGAAATTATAACAAGATATTAGTCATATCCCTCATTAGGTATCTCATATAAGCATTTCTAATTTCACCTGTTATGTACTTAGACTATGTTCTATGGTTGTTCTTACCAACCTGACCTGGTTTCTACCTTCTGTATACACTTTTCCTACCTAGAATATGAATCTTTACAATGTTTATTCTTAGCAAGATGGAGCTTAACGTCACTCATCTTGGCCACTGGAAGGTAGTGACAGCATTTTTTTTTGAGAGACGTAGTTATATTTTATCCAATCAGCAGCCAGGATTAGTGTTTTATGACCCTACTGGAAAAACAGCATATATAACATATAACATATAATTGGTGCCAATCGTGAGCAGGAGGAGCCCAGCCATCTGGGGACGTCACTGTTAATTGTATGGTCATAGTGCCACCTTTCCACAGGCTGCACATAGCCACATTGTGCTTCCAATGGCATGGCACAACTGTCAGCTCTTAAAGGCAAGATACCACTGCAAGGGAAAAGGAGTTCATACAGCAGATTGGCCCTGTGAGAACACATCTGCATGACACTGGAGAGACGTGGGCATGAGCACCAAAAAGAAAATTTTAGGAGCATGATCTAGCATGTATCTTGTTTTATGCATTGTATGTAGAACAAACTCAGGTTCCTTTAGTCTACTGGGTGCCAAGACTCAAACATTGTGCTGGTTTTCGGGTTTATGTCATGTTGAATGATCAGAAATGAAGTAACTACTGGAAGAGTAAATATTTTAAAATATTTTAAAATTTATTCTACATGAAAAAATAAGACCAAAATGTTAGTTTTGTTTTTAACTTGTTTTATCTTGTGCAACTCTGTTCATATTGTTTGAAGGTTAATTTATAGCATAGTGACAGAAGGACTAACAGACATATTGTCAGTAGAATTGGTGAAGTTGATACTGAAGGCTTTCCCAGTGACTTGACACAGCTCATGAGTGGCTTATACAGAGATGAAAGTAGGCACAAGTAACTCTGTTATCAGCAAGAAATGTATGTCTTGCACTCTTGACTTAATATCTTGGTGTCGTGGTTCAAACCCAGCCAGACAACTTGTTCACTCACTTCCCCCACCTTCTTGCCCTCCCTCTACTCCCAGAGGGACAGAGGGGAGAACCAAAAAGAATGCAACTCCCACGGGCTGAGGTAAGAACAGTTTGGTAACTAAGGTATAACACAAATCACTACTGCTACCACCAATGATAATAATGATAAAGGAAATAACAAGGGAAGAGAATACAACACCTCATCACCAGCTGACTGATAACTTGCCCCCCCAGCCCGACCAAGCACCGACCGATACCTCCTCCAACCCTACAGTCCTAGCCCTTCTGGGTAACTCCCGTTGCATCCTGGGCATGACGTGCTGTGGTATGGAATACCTCTTTGGTCAGTTTGGGTCAGGTGTCCTGTCTCTGCTTCCTCCCGGCTTCCCCTCCTCCCTGGCAGAGCATGAGGCTCACAAAGTCCTTGGACAAACCAAAACATCATTGTTATCAGCTCTGTTCCCGAGCTGAAAGTCAAAACACAGCACTGCACCAGCTACCAAGAAGGAGAAAAATGACTGCTACTGCTGAACCCAGGACACTTGGTCCATATTTTCTCTCTAATTCCCTTTGTTTCTTATTTAACCTCATATATAAGACAATGGGAGAATGTAAACCTGACCCAAATGATGGTACATGCTGACTCAAGTACTTCTTTCAGTACTTGAGTCCTATGAAGGGAAGTACCGTGAATGCCATGGTACAAGTAATTATAAACTAGGAGAATCTATTGATTTTTCTTACGCACTGAAGTGCTCCGGTATGTACCTGTTTAAAGAGGACTTAGGAACAGGCCCCTGCCAAATAATGGGTTATCTTGCTTATTGCTGACTCAAATCTTAAAAGCAGTATCGCTGAAGATGCATAAGGAAAACATAACCCATCTCAGTCTGTCTTAAGCTTCAATGCTCGTCAAAGTATTTGAGTTACCAGAGTAATTTTAGTAGAAGTATTAGAGTGTTAGACCTCTAGTACTTCTAAACATTCTACTGAGAAGTTTAAAAAAAAATTTAAGCAGAAAAATCCACAGATACGTCTATAAGATGGTGTAGGGAGAAGAGTCTGATGGAGGAATTATGTTTTTGAAAGCTTCCCCTTCATAGTACGGCTTTCTTAGGTCTTCTGAAACGATGTGAAAACTCCATGCAAAACTGAATGAATTAAAGACAATTCCTGTCATTGTAAGTTTTAAAAAATATTTCTTCTCTGACCTTTCTGCCGTAAGGGTTACAGATGGTTTGCTATGAGAAGTTGACACCTGATACTCAAAATGAGAATTGTTTCATTCTGACGTTTCAAATAATTGTGTATTGTTGCCCATTCCATGGGCATAATGCTTACAAGGCAGAAGGCTTGAAGAAACCAGGGGCTTGGACTCTGTGCCCAAGAAAATAGTGCTGCAGGGAGAGTAGCCTAACAGTAAGCAGCCTTGGCAAATTCTAGAAAATTAAAACTATTCAAAAGGCTTTTCTTTTTGTTTGTTTGCCTAGTTTTAAAATGATATTCTCAGTGGAGATGTCTGGAACACTGCCTATTTGCATCAACATGAGGCAAAAATTGTCATTTTATTTAGAAAGAGTTGAATCTGGTTGAACAGCAAAGGTACTTCTTGGTATATGACTTGATGAAATACATTTCTGGTTTGCAGCTATGGCTATACTCTGTCTTCACCTCTTTAGAGAGCCTGTGTGTCCAAAGGGGTAGCTGCCAGTCTGGGAATATTGCAAGGCATTTTCACGGAGCATTATAAACAAGATGTTTTCTCTCACATGGATCTCATTTTTATTTTCTCTAGGTCAGTTGCTACCCTTGCTCAATGATAGATTACTGAAAATACGTGATCATGGTGCATGGCAAAGCACGACAGCACAGGGCTACTTACACAAGGTTTCTTCCCTGTCTTACAGACAATCTGTAAAGAAAGTGGGTCATTACAAAGCTACCTAGAGGTGATTTTTCAGATCCCAAAAATGTACTTTCTGCAATGTGAGGTTTTTTTTGTCTTTATGGGAGGGCCAAGGTCTTTGGCCAAAATACATTTGTAGGCTTCTCTTACAGAACAAATAAAAAAATCAATCCAGAAATGTGAATGTATCTGTTCAGAAACTTGCTGCATTTTCCAGTTCACAGAAGACCGTTTCCTGTCAGTACAAGAAGAGAGCTAAACCACTGATTTGTTTATGGATGAATAAAAATCCTATGGCTTTAGAGTGCTTTGTGTGTGGGGAGGGGGAGAACAAGGGAAGGGAGGGAGTTGTTGGGCTTTTTTCCCTGTGAAATAAAACCATGTTATTTATGTGCTTGATTCACCAGCAAGTGACTGCATTTAGCACAACTTCAGGTTTTGGAATAAAATCTTTCTTTAGCAACACTTACCTGACCAGAATAACAAAGCCTGGCTCAAATATAAGGGGGAATCAATTCCAGAAATAAACATCTATCTGTTCTATAACCAGGTCTAATCTTCATTTGCTGAAGCCTGAGCTGGCTCTTCTAGCTCCTTAAGTAGGGAAAACATCATAACTTGAGCTTCAGTTTCCTGCACATGCAGATTATGGGACAGCTGTCACCTTTGGGGTTTGTGGAGGGCTGCTAGGAAAGACATGACCCCAACTCTCTGCTTCCTGGTTTTAAGAATCTTCCTGGTTTTCTGTCTCTTGGAGGAGGAAGAGTAGAAATCAGCTGGGTGTATGGGTACACCTGGAACTACTCCTTCTCCGGTTAACGCATATAGCATCCTGGTTTAATTGTGTGTTAGCATTATGTTTAGAAAGGACTACATTTACTTGATTATATGCCCCTATAAACACTGAAGTCAAATACACTGGTCCCAAATCAGGCATTGGTATAGCAGTCGTAATGTGAAACAAGACATCAGCCTGAGTGAGTTTGTGAGGTTTTGTGTGTGGGTTTAAAAGAAAGAAAAGTGCTGGGATCCAGGAATGATTAAAGGAAGTTAATCTAGAAATGCTGCCATGCAGCATTCCAAATAAGAGGAGAGGACTGATTCAGCCTGTGCAGTTTGTATGCAAATTGATCGTGCACAGGGAGATTGGTTTTGACAACTTGATTCCAGCAACGCTGCAAGGCACCTAGAATGGTCCTACTCTCTATTTTCTCCAGCTCCTCATATTCCTTGAGGTCTTGATAATGAAAGACTCCTGTCCAGACTAAATGTAGCTCATGTTGACAGGGACAGCAAATACACATGGTAGCTTTCATGGTTCCCTGTGAAATCTTTTGACTTTTTTCATGCCCTTTCCATAGGGCAAGCTGTTAAACAACATATGATTTCTGTTACCTGTGTTGAGATTTCAGCAGTAGGATTACAAAAGATATGCAGGTCTTTAGAAAAAAAAACATTCAGAAAATGGTGTTTGAATGCTCTTTGGACTCTCTTTAGGCTTCAAAGGAACTGCAACACTTTCTCCTTAACCTCAGTAATTGCTGCTTAACCAAAGAAAAAGAAAAAAAAAAAAAGCAGATTTTAAAAAGAAATCGTGCAATCTAGAAACATACTTTCCATCTGTGTATTGCGGCTGAAATCCAAAATAGGCCAGCTGGTCATAGCACAGCTCACATATTCACAGTATCTATCCTCTGAATAAGTCATTTCATCATAAACAGTGGAAAGCAAAAAGTGGAGCCTTAGCTTCTCTGATTTTCTCCCTGTATTTGACACTCAAAGGACTGGCAGGTACTAAAAGATTCCTCTTTGATGTTAAATTTGATACCGTCATTGCATTTTACTTGCTGCTCAAATATGTCTTTTTAAAACTGTGTGATCCAGGATGTGGAGTGGAATGTTTGTTGTGGCAAATGCCTCTCTTCATTGGAGCAGTTTGGTCTGGCAGTGTTCCCAGTTTGCTGTAGATTTAGCAAGTAAGTTGTGCACAATCCCTTGATTTTTGTTCTTGCTTTTTGTGGCACTCTCTCTATATCTTGAGACCTCCTGGAGTTTTACAGTAGTGTCTTTCAGTATATACATATTACATCTAATCAACAGGGACTGATCCCAGCAGACTAGAAATTCCTCTTTAAGTAGTGGGAAATCTCTCTTCCCCTCTGTATTATTGATTTTGCTTTGTGCATAGAGGCTGCAACCCTCCCCACTCCTTCCCAGGGCTGGAATGTTTTAAACCAGCAATTGCCACTCTGTGCTGAATCCTTTTAGATAGAAGACAAGAGATGATGTTATGTAGAGGAGGAGAAACAAATGGCAAAACCCGCGGTAACAGCACCCAAGGACCATGATGTTAGTCATTGTAGTCTTTTGAGGTGATCTAAAACAGTTCTGATCAGATGCAATGGATATAGAGCCAATGACCAAGCTTCATATGAAACATAACCGGTGAAGGAAATATGGACATGGCCGAGGAAACTCCTGCAGTTATGAAAGGTTCTCAGGCTTTGACTAGCAGTCTGTGGGTGTGGAGGCACCAGACTATATGAAAATGTATAAGGGTTTTGGTACTGCTTAAGTTCTTCCTGTCTTTTGTAGTTTGGGGAGGCCTCCCCATCTGTCTCGGTGGCCCTCCACTGAACTTGCCGCAGTCTGTTGAAGTCTTTCTTGCACAGAGGAGAATTATGTTGAATGTACATAAAAACTAGACCAAATGACAGCTGAACTTACGGTTTGGTGCTTTATTATTTTATCTGGTTTTACATTCTTAAAGTATGAATCTAGACAGAGTGTGTTTAAAGTACCTTGTCTACATAATGGTCAGTCTTTTGGATAAATCAGTGATGGAAAGCATGAGGCTAAAGTCTGTATCCTCAGCAAGTGGATATTAGGTTTGGAGTGGGAACATATGCAAAAGAATGGCTGCATTCATAAATGTAACCAAAACCCCTGCTGTACATACAATGCAGTTTCCATGCACAGTCAGTCATGCACACCTGTATTATATCTCCATGGCTAAATAAGTGTAAGCACAGCCTTACTCCAGGCTCTCAGAAAAATACTACTATGCTTTGTAATTGCAGCTGTGTGCTAATATGATGCCTCCTCCCCATCAGCAATTGTTTTGCACTTGTAATCGTATGTCCTTTTCTGTACTCCTTAAAGAACATCAGCTTAATCCAATTTTGCTTTTTCTTTAATAACAAAATGTCTCATTTGGCTATTAGTTACAAAAGTGCACTTACTAGACACAAGTTTACTAACATTTACTAACAGAATCATTTAGGGAAAAGGGAACCTCTATAGGTCCCCAGTCCAACACCTAACTCAGAGCAGGACCATCTCCAAAGTTACAGTAGGTTGTTTAGGGCATTGTCCAGTGAGTATCTGAATATCTCCAAGGATTGAGGCTCTACATCTTCTCTGGGCTACCTAACCCAGGGTTTTACTGCTCTCATCGTGCAGCTCTAGTCGTAGTTTCTGTTGTTGCAACTGGTGTTCATTGCCTTTTCCCTATTACTGTGCATCTCCAAAAAGAGTCTATCTGTCTTCTCTATACCACCCATATCTTGGGTGGCTATAGAGATAACATGTATAGTAGCTTGGAAAAACTTGGTTCTTAATGAACCCTGTAGGTCCTACTGTAAATCTGAAAGGATTCCCTCTCCTTCCAAGTGGCTATGAAGTGGGTTTTTCTCTGTGAAAATTATCACAGTTGTTTGATCCTTTGGGCTATGCCGGTCCACTGCCTTTGTTCTCAACTCTGGTGTGTGTATTGGAGTGTGTCCTGCTTGTTTCACCTGCATGGATATGCCCTGTGCTAGTTCTAATGTGAAAACTAGAGAAGTCTATGAGATTGTGATATAAATTTTCACACAGGGTTGGTAGTGATAAAAGACAATTGATCCCTGAGATAGGATTCAAGATTTCAGTCTCTCTGGAATGAAAGTGGAACACAGGTCTGTGTGTTTTCTCCCAGCTCTCCAGTCTCCCTCTGTGGCCTGGCTCACACTGCATGTGTTCAATCCTCTCTTACCTTCATGGCAAGATACGTGCCACATGCACCTCCTATCAGGATGAACAGCTCTATGCGAATGAATTTTGATAAGATCAGGTGGACTGCTCAAGAAAAGCTGGCAGTCTTTACATATGTACTTGGACAGTGTTATATACAATGTATTTTGCTTCTTACCCTAGAAACTGTTTATTCAAATCTGGTTTTGTGTGAGTGGCTCAGGCATAAACACTTGCTGTCACTCAAGCAGTATTAAGTGTGGTTTATATCCTTCCAGATTTGTTTATTTGTGGTGTGGTTCCATCCTTAGAGATGCCTGATTGTTGAGATTTCTGCTAATTCTTTGCCTACTCATATACTTTTAGCTTTACTCAGCTAAGTAATACTGCCAAAGTTTAGCATGAGCCTGTTAGACTGAGGTCTGCCTCTGTATTAACTTACTGTAATGAAAATGTAAAATAACTGCAGCAAACCCCTATTCTAACTACATATACAATCAAATATGCCCTTAAGTAATTGGAACTGTAGGATAGAAAGCAAAACATTGCAAATCGTACTGGTTTGCAATAATTCATAATCCTTTAAGCATATAAATCCACCAGACAGCTTCAAAGTGCAATTTCTGCCACCAGCTATGTTGAAAATACACTTACATACTTCGTACTAAACTATAGCATCAAGCAACAAGCTATGCTCTAGGGATAGTGTAGAGCCCCTATCACTCCTCTGCCAGTCCTGGGAGCTGTCATGTCTTAGGGAGGCAGAGTGCCTCCAGAGCTGCTCTTGCATCACTATTAATTAGGGAGCAGTTTGCACTCCTTTCTGCATCTTGTCAGCTTTAGTGGCTGGTGTGCAGGATGAGATAGTTTCGTCCCCTTAGTGTATGCCATAAGAACTGCTACAGTGGGTTAGATTGGAAGTTCAGCCAGCCCAACACGCATTTTCTGACAGTGGCCTGCAGCAGATGTTTAGAGAAAGAGAAGCAGAACAAGGCAATTACAGAGAGATACATTCCAGTGGTTTGCTGGGAAACCAGGAATGTGGAGGCTGCTTGAGCCAGATATTGTCTCTACACTTTAGCATATGATAGCTGTATAGGCTGCCAGTGAACTTGTTTTAATCTCCCTTTGAATTATTTTTACTCTTCCTGCCTCCCCAATATCCAATGGCAATATATGCCATAATGATTCTCTGATGTGTGAAAAAGTTATTTCTTCTGCTGTCTTTAAACCTACCACCTGCTAACTTCACTGGATATTTTCTCTCCCCGCTCACCCTCTCATTCTTGCACTATGAGAAAAAAACCACTCTAGCCCAGTGTTCAGCAACACCCTTAGCTGGAAACAGTCCCCTCCTGACCGCTGCTTACACAAGGGGTGCAAGCAAGGAAAAGGATATTTTTTTGCCCAGGTTTTGCTCAAATGCATCAAAACCAGAAGGATACTATCTGGCAGTCACCTCCAACAATCCCCTTGTATCAAGGAGTAGAGAAGGCTCACCTACATAGATTTTTGCCACAGATAATGGCAAACATGGGGGTAGATATACCTTTCTGTACCAAGAACAGCAAACACCTTCTAGTGAAATCAAAGCATAGTTCTTACAGACTTGTTCTAAAGGAGAATGTGAAGGGGATGTTTTTACTTTAAGAAATGCCCTTTCAATTGAAACATCTGTGTAAAATGCATTACATTGTTTTCTTTCAAAGAGAAATGACAGTTCAGTTCAAAGCTTTGGAATTACACTTAGATTTTTCTTTAGAGGAATGTTTTGTTTCATTTTGAAATTAAGTTTACTGGAGTTTAATTTTAAAGAAAACAAAGAAAATGAATAAAAATGCAGTGAAAGCAAGAAAGCCTGCCTTGCCTACCATTGTGAGCTGCTTCTGATAAAAAATGCTCCTCATCAAAATAACAAGCCCCTTCCACCTTCTCTAATATGAAGAATTAGATCTGTTTAGAAAAGTGCTAGAGACTGTCTTTAAAATGGTCTTTGGCAGGCCGTGTGTGCTGCACAGCCCAGACCTTCGATCTGATAATTATGATCAAAGTTACATTTTACTCTATTTGCATATTTTAAAACAGATTCCAGGTAGCTAATTGCAAGAGAACAAGAGAAGGGTATTTACAGAGCTGCATTTCATGCTTTCCTCACATTTATGTTGTATTAGGTCAGAGTTTTCCACAACTAAAAGAGCCAAATGAACAACAATCCCTATTCACAGTATGAAAAGAGATACTACAAAAATTAGTGTCTTCTAATGCCTTATTTGACATTTCTCCCTATTATTTAATTATTTAGTTCCAGGACAAACACAGTGAAGTAAAATAGGTATTAGTACGGCTAACAGACTATAGGAGACTTTGTGGGTGCAGGAAATAGATTCTGGGAAGCAATGGCCCTAAAGATCTTTCTAGCAATTGATCAGTATTTATTTTAGGAGATGTCTGAAATATATGTGTTATCAATAAACTGCAAAGAAGTGTTCTCCTGTAAGTCAATGTGATTGCCAAAAGACTACTACTACGTAAATTAAAATCTGCTAATTGTTTAGTGTTGCCAAATGTTTAACTGGCCTCTGAAACTTGGCATACACAATGAAAATTAGTTACCAAATGGATAAAACAATAGCAGCTATGAAGGAAATTTGATCTTGTTCTCTGAAGTTGTGTGCTGAGATGGAGTGCTATGCTGCCGCTGTATCATGCTGGATGAGCTGAGTGAGCGGTGAGATGCCCAGTACACAAAGGTAGCTGTGGGAGGTGCAGAGACCTATAGC